AATACAATAAAGACTAATAATGCAAAAAATAGGAGGGGGACCATTGCGGTACTAGGTACACTCAAGATGATCTCATCCATTGATTATCACCTACCAAAACCTCAAAGATATTCGCAACAAAGTTTGCTTCTTTACGAACATAATTTAATTTAGAGTGAACCACAAAACATGTCATTGAACTATTGGTAATTTCATCATAGGTCATCAATCAAATTTATTCTCAAAATTGGTCATTGGACTAAGCCAAAGATCCATCGAAAGTCATTATGTTAATTTTACCTGTTAAATAGTAACGAAAAACTATTTTTCACATGCTTTTGGGTTCATGGGTATTTTTGTGGTTTTGTATTTTTACAAAATTTCAAGAATTAATTCAACTTGTGCATTTTAACTTCAGATTATAAATTTAAAAAAAATTAAAAAAAAATGAAGAAGAAAAATTCGAGTTGAAGTAACATGAAAATTAATAGCTTACAATTTTAAACAAAAAAAAAATCTAAAAAATTTGCTAAGACAAGTTGTTTTTTCTAGATAATTTAATTATTTTCCCTCTCGAATTTAATTATTTGATTATTATTTTCATGTTTACTTCAATTCGAATTTTTTTCTTCATTTTTTTATTTTTTAAAAATAAATTTATAATCAAGGAGTCAAATGCGAAAGATAAATTAATTTTTAAAATTTAATAATTATAATAGTACCAACCTATATAAGTTTGGAAGTATAAGAACAATAATTAAAATTAAAATTTTTTAAGAACAATACAAAATAACGAAATTATCCGTGGATTCAAAAGTATGTAAGGAATAGTTTTCTATCATGATTTAACGTCCAAAATAACCAGGAAGAAACGACTTGTCTCATCTGATTCTTTTAGTTTTTTTTTGTATAAAATGGTAAACTATTAATTTTCATGTTTAATTGAACTCGAATTTTTCTTCTTCATTTTCTTTATTTTTTTTTGAAAAGAAAATTTTATAATCTAGAAGTTAAAATACAAAAGGTACATTAATTATTAAAATTTAATAATTATACTAGCATCAATATATACGAGTTAGGAAGTATAAGAAAAAGATTTGTAAAAAATAAAAAATAAAAAAAATTAAATACCAAATGACAAAATTATCCCTAAACCAAAAGCATGTGAAAAATAGTTTTTTGTTACTATTTAACAGCTAAAATTAACAGAATGACTTCGGATGGATGTTTGGCTTAGTACGGTGGTCGATTTTGAGAATAAATTTGATTGATAACATGTGATGAAATTAAATTACCCAATAATTCAATGACTTGTTCTGTGGTTCACTCTTTAATTTAACAACTCGATCTCTTCACATAATTTAACTCTTAAAACAGTGATGCAACCAGAACTAGTGTTCATAGTAAAACCTCCTCTCCAGATAGCCATATTGATCCATGGTTAAACCGTACTCTTTCGACACCCAGTTACTGAAACTTACCCCAACATTTCCTTATAAAATAATTGTTTTAGTGAACTACATTTTACTCCCAAAGTTTTGACATTATTTACCATAAATCCTCAGAATTTTAATAATATTACCATTTACTTCTTAAATAAAAGTTAAAATATTGAAATGACTAAAATGACGATTGTATACATACCAATTAACATATGGGACGCCTGGAGCAACTTAATTAGGGAGCTCCTAGTTTATATAACACGCGCTCACAACACCTCACTTGAACCCAACTTTCTGTTAATTACAAAAAGGTCACCGCTTCAACTGAAAAAATATAAATAGTCATGACTTTATTTAAAAATCAAAAAATTTCACAAGATTTCTCCCAAAATCCTTTGACGATTTTTCACTCCAGATCTCCAGCATAACTTCCTCTGGCTAATTTCCTCCCCAATTCTCGAAATTCCGTCGGCTAAATCTCCTAGAAACATCTCTCCGATTGTTACAAAGTGCACTTCATACCTTCATCTTGTGAATTTTGTACCAGAATTTTCAAAAACTCCGTTCGGTGAATCTTTTGACGGTGAAAAACACAAAATCAAGCCCGCAATATCAGGGTAAGTATTCTATTTTTTCAAAATGAACATTACTTTATTACGATTTGGATTTATTTTTTAAGAATTAGGATTTGAGTAGTTTGGAGAAAGCACGGTTTTCCCCTACTTCGTTATTGTTTATTTTAGGTTCGAAGCAGAGCTCTGTTTGGATTCTGAGGTGCAATTTTAATGATCTCATTGATGAATGGCAATATTTTGATTATTCAGTTGGTCTAGGAGTATAATTTGTCAATTTTGTTTTGTTGGTGAATCTCTATCTCTGCACTGACTTCACTTCAAGAGTTCAGGGTGGTTGGGGATTATGGGGGAGAATAAACCAGTTGTTCCTTAGACTCAGTTGTTGGAGATGTGATTGTTCATGAGCTATGGATTACTGTACATCCTGTGAGGCTCAGTTGTTCATTTTAAGGTTGTTGTATTATTTTGTGGGGTTGCTCATCCTGTATGCTTCAATACTCATCTTGACAGAAAAATGTTAGGTTGTTCATCCTGCATACTTTGATGCTCATCCTGTATGCTGATGTTGATTTTGTTTGATGTTCGTTACTGGATTGATGTTCTCTAACTTCAACCCAGATCTCTGGTGTGAGACTTAGTTATTCATTTTATTATTCATTTTATAGATGTGATTGTTCGTCGTATGGTTACTCATCTTATTAATGTTAATGTTGTCATGCAACAAAAACCAGTACAAGAGTATTGTCTTCCTGTTTTCGATGCTTTTAAACAGAGGACAAAAGTAAACCTGCAAGATCGCCTTAACACCTTGCGGATGAAATATATAGCTGAAATCCTGCAGTCAAGAACCAACAGCTTGTATCCAGAGCTTCAAGGAAAGATCAATGGATTTTATCTAGAAAATTAATAGGGCAAAAAGTTCTATGTAAATTCAACTAGTGTGCACTGCTACTGGACTTCAATTTTTGACTTATCATCCCAAAACTTTGTAGCTACAATGTGAATCCTGCTAAAATGTCTTTGATCACTTTGAAAATATAAAATTCATCGAAATTTCTGTTGTTCACTGCACCAATTTAAATGTGCATCCTATTATACTGAAATGTTCATCTTAGAGCCATGGCCCTTATTTGTCAAATATCCTGTATGATCATCTAGTTAAAATACATTATTCATCCGTTTAAACACAATGATCATGTTGAACACTCATCTGCAACAATAACTTAATCGTTTATTTTCAGTATAAAAATTTACAATGTTAATCGTTTCCCGGCGTAAACTAGTCCCTAATCTATAATTGAAAGGCTTAAACCCCCCTAAACCCTAAACCCTAAGTCCTAAACCAAGCCGGAGATGAATTTTTATTAATTTTTTTTTAAAATTTGGTTGAAATTTTTTAAAACTGATTAGACTGGGGTCTCGTAAAGCCTAATTGGTTTAAAAAAATTTAAAAGGTTAATCGTTTCCCACCGCAAACTAGTCCCTAACCTATAATTGAAATGCTTAAACCCCCCTAAACCCTAAACCGAGTAGGAGAGGAATTTTTATTAATTTTTTTTAAAAAATTGAAAGATTAATCGTTTCCCGGCGCAAACTAGTCCCTAACCTATAATTGAAATGCTTAAACTCCCCTAAACCCCTTAAAACCTAAACCCTAAACCGACTCAGAGATGAATTTTCATTAATTTTTTTTTTTGAAATTTGTTTGAAATTTTTTTAAACCAATTAGGCTAAACGGGACCCTAGCCTAATTGGTTTAAACAAATTTAAAAGGTTAATCGTTTCCCGGCGCAAACTAGTCCCTAACCTATAATTGAAATGCTTAAACCTCCCTCCCCTAAACCCCCTAAACCCTAAACCCTAAACTGACACGGAGTTGAATTGTTTTAAATGTTGTTTTTTTAATTTGTTTGAAATTTTTTTTTGCATCTACTGACTACTGTCATCTTGATAATAATTAAAAAACACATCAAAATTTTTGCACTATTTTGTATCAAAATATAAATTCAATAAAGATTTTCTGTTGTGCACTGAACAACATACAATGCACATCCTATAAAACTGTAATGTTCATCCTAAATTCAAACATCTTTCATTGAGAAAAATAATTGTACAAATATAATATCTCATCTTTCTAACTGCAATGTTCACTTCAATGAAATGAATGCTCATCCTGCGAAAGTGTAAGTTCATCCTATGTCTGAAGTTCATCGCAAAATGGCAAAGTTCTTCTCAGGAAACGTGATGCTTCCGTTCCGGAACTCCCTAACTTGGGAGCACTGAGTGCCCTATATAATTTGTGGTATTCATACTAATACAATTAATTTCATTTTCTTTGTTTTTTGTTTGTTTGCTAAGTTGCAGTCCTCTCTCCCTCTTTTCCCCCTTCACACGCCTCCGACGCCGACTACTACTACGACTAAGACGGCGAGGCCTATGTGGTTATGGCATTCTTACCATTTGACGGCTCCCCAGTCTTCCCAATCGCTACATGAAACCAACGCCTTATTATCTGTTCGGGCTGAGAAAACGCTCACCAGTAACCTCTGCAAAGCCTTCGATGCAGCAGCCGGATGCTTCAATTAATCCACCGTCGAAGGCTACGGTTCCGATTCAGTCTCCGTCGATTGTGAGAGCACGTTGAGTAGTGAGGATGAGGAAGGAATGGATACAGTGGGCGTCGGTGGGAGCTGCCGAACAGAGTTCTGAGGTAATTGCGGTGAGCTCAGCTGCACGAATTACAACGGCGAAGACATTTAATCCAGTTCACAATTGGAGCTTCCTTCAATTCAAATCCAACGCCCTTTGGTAATTGGGATTATCAAATTTGCTCTTCCTATTCCATCTACAATCCCGAAACCTCCTCTTCCTCTCCTTTTAAACGCTTTGTAAATCATAATCCTCATTGAATCGTCTTTCTGTCGTTTGTCTTACTCTTCATTGAAGGGGGAAAAAAGAAGTTAGGGGCAGAATTTAGGGAAGGATCAAGGCCCACTCAAAGGACATGAAGTTCTTGCCACAACTGATGCTATATGCAGCCAGCAGTGCTCTGAGTAGCTTGGTTCTGTTTATAGGGTTCCGGATGCTTCACCCGAATCATGAGGCATCCGAGAAAGTAATGGAAGAAAAGAAGAAAATCGTTAAAGGGCTGGATCATCATCCCATGGTTCAGACGAATCCTTACCAGGTTAGAAACTTATATAACACCCTTCTGTTTTCTATGGTTTGTCTATTTACTATTGTATTTTTTTTTTTAATCAGTATTACTATAATGATTGTTTGTTTTGTGCATTGAAATTTTGAGATTTTGGCTTGTGGGCGTCTTTGGGCTTTTGGGGTGGGGGAGGACATGGAGAGTATAATATTTTTAGTATGACAAAACTCAATATAGACAATTTTTTTGAGGACAGATGGAGTATAATATTTAATTACCACAATTTTCAATGATAGTTTTAGTGCGATTGTGATTATGCTGATTCTTCATTTCCTATACCTGGATTTCATGTTTAATTGTTTACTTTTTATTCATCTTTGAATTTATTCTGTTTGTAACATTCGTTAAACCGCAGCATTTACATGAAGATCGGATTAGTGAACTTCCGGATGAAATCCTTATATGTATCTTGTCACTTGTAACGCTTAAAGAAGCTGGCAGAACAAGCATTTTGTCAAAGAGATGGAAGCATGTTTGGACTTATGTTCCTGATCTTGATTTCAACGAACATAGTAATGTATCATGGGAGAAGGTAAGTTTGGAGAATTACGTGCGTCACGCAATAAGGGAAAGGCCCAAGTTTGTTAACTGGGTAAAGAAGGTGTTGCAGTCCCATCAAACCTTGGTTTTGAATAAATTCAGAATTTATTGTTATTTCAGTGGTTCCTTTCGAGAAGAATTAGATGAGTGGCTTCAGTTTGCCTTTGACAGGAGAGTTCAAAGGCTGGAAGTGAACCTTTCACACCATTGCATAGGTGAGTTCGGTGGTGAGGATTATGTTTTGCCTTGTGCATATTTTGAGCAGAGAAGTTGGAATTCTCTCAAAGAGTTGATTTTTACACGGGTATATATCTCCGGGGGCGAACTTGAACTCCTCTTGATGAATTGCAAAAATCTTGAAAGTTTGGGTGTGCATTACGCAACAGAGTTAACAACTTTGGAAATTAGGGGTCCATCTCTTGCATTACAACACTTGGAAATTTCCTATTGTCCCTTGGAAACCCTTACTATAAGCAGTGTTAATCTTATTTCCCTTAAGATTGATCGGCCAGAAGCACTAGTGCTTAAGAATGTTTCCCAGATCACTCATTTTGGGATCTCCTCTACTTGTTACGTCATTGAGGATATTGTTCGTCGACTTTCATGCTGCTTTTCAAAGCTTGAGGTTCTTTCTTTAGTAATGGGTCCTTCGGTGGTTAGAGAGGTATGAATCTAGCTGATTGTGTTACTGGAGTAATTTTCTTTCCCTAGTTTTGCTCTATGATGATTTCTAAGTTCTATTTAATTATTTTTGCTGCATCCTATGTTGAGCAATTTTTTTTTTCACCCAGTATGATTGGAAAAAACTACCTCAGCTATCTGACTTTGAAGCAGCTATCTCTAATGCTTGTATTAACTTCTAAAGAGAGCATGTTTGGATGTACTTCGTTCTTTAGGGCATCACCAAACCTGGAGAAGTTTGTAATACAGGTAATAGATATTTATATTTGATGTTCCTTTTCTGGCTTTAGACCCCTCAGTGTAGTTATTATTCTTTTATGTTTGATTTTTTTTTCCTCTGTACTTTCACCCTTCTAAGATCTTGTTCTGGTAATTTTGTGGTACCATTGAAGTGAACTGGTTTGTCACCTTATGCTTGCTAAGTGACCATGTTATGTTTCTACAGCTAGGTTACCCATTGCAAATAAGGGCCAGCAGAGAGTCGGAGAATGTTGTAAATTACCCTGTTCGACATCTTAGGGTGGTTGAGATATCTCAATTTCGAGGCCGTTCAATCGAACTCGAACTAATCAAGTACTTCCTTGAAAATGCAAGTTCCCTCCGAAAATAACTGTTGATCCACATTACAAGCTGTTTGGATCTTTGGAATATATGGATCTATTCTCCAGCCCTCGATTCGCAATCGGGCAGCCGAGGTGACAAATGAGGCCAGAAGGTGTGCTGAGCAGCTCTTAGGAGGGATGCCTTCACATGTAACATTACAAATACTCTAGCTATGAACATGGGCATGATGGTCTGGTCTCGGAAGGAACTAAGCTTATCAAAATAAGCTTTGATTTCAATGTTAAGCTAAGCTCTGGGAATATCTGAAAATAGCACTGAAATGTTTGATTCAAATCTTTTACTACTGAAATGTCGTAACTATGCTTTTGTTGCTGCTGTGTAATAAGACTCCCACGGATAATCAACTCAAATTGTTTTTGCCAGATTTTTTAACAATCAAACTTGATTAAGTGCAGTGTGTCAAACTTTCTTGATGTTAGATACTTTTCCTGTCCGAGAAAAATTGTTTATTTTGTCAATAGAATTGATCGTGCTTTTCGGATGTAGTAATATTATGTTCATAACGAAAGATGTAGCTGAAATCGATTATAATATTAGATCTAAAACATGAATACAGTAGTTGCTACTCTCTGCCCTACTTCAATAGTTATCCTCGTTGTTTTGTTTCATAATAAGTCAATCTATCACAGGCGTTTAATCCAAAATCAAAGTATACTTGTCTTCGCATAATCTTGAAAAAGGTCCTTCTCTTGCATTTTCTTTCTCTTACATTTGTTTCGCAATTTTCTTTCTCTAAAAAGGTCCTCTCTTCCACTTTTTTTTTTCCCCAAAAAATGCATATTTCTCCCTCTAAAAATAATTATCCAATTTTGAATATTTTTGTTCCCATGTTGCTGTTTATGCCAAAATTAATAAACAAATAGACCTTGGTACCAAAAACGAAACAAATGATTATCGATTATTAGTGGTCGAAAAATAGAACAAAACTTTCAGATTATTTCCATACATTTAGTCCAATTCAAATATTGGAACCGGTTGAAGGTTTACTCTCGAAGAATAGTACTCCCTCCGTCCAGAATAGTTTTCTTTTTTTATATATTAAGGGATCTTGAAATGGTGTGAGCATGACTTTAACAGAGTTATGAAATTATTTATGTGGATATTGCATTATCTAGTTCTGTAACCAAAATTTCTCCCTTTAGTGAACATTAATTGTATCCTCATAACAAACCAAACCAAAAATACTCGCAACTGCGGTACAATGCAGTTGTAGGTCTTGTAACCTTCAAATAGCATGAGAGATTATTTACCCTGTTGTTTCACTCAGCCAAAGGATCTTTAAAGGAATTCCCGTGGAACAGTTTTGTTATATTTTCTGAAGTTAAATCTGGTAAAAGCCACAAATAAGTTCGTGATGTTATTATGTACTCAGAAATACTCCTAGGTCTCATCCAAAAGCAATTCAGAAAGCCGTATAAATTTCAAAAGCTTCAGAACATCTTGTTGGGGCTGTACTTGGAATCCATTAAGCTGCATTGTACATTCTGCATGTACTAATCTTTAGGCACTTTTGCTGGTATCTCTACCATCCAGAGATCAATTAACAGGCAGTTCCATCAATCGATTTATTGGTGATCCTAATGAGTCTAGCTATTATTTTCTCCATGGCCTTTTTCCATTTTGGTGCTGCAAAGGAAAGAATGAGTAATGAAATAGACCATACATGACAAGCATAAAAGAAGCAACATTAGTGTGCTATATTGCGAAACCAGATGACAACCCCCCAAGCTACATGAATTCTCGTTGTGATCAAAGGAGCAAAGAAAACCTCTATAACAGTAGAGCTGGAATTACTCAGAAAGTCGAACAGAGACAATGCTTAAAACAAAATATTTGGTAATGGGTAATCCAGTAGAGAGGTATTTTTAATCAGACTAAACCGTAGAAAACGTCCCGTACATTTGGTTTACTATAGTGGTTAGAGTAAAAAAAATGGTTTGGCTTTTTCTTTTTTTTTTAAAAAAAAAGAATTTGAATTTTGAATTATTTACTGTAACTCGGTAAATTTTTTAAGTTACAGTGGGTCTAAGGTTAAAAGTGTAATATAATTACTATTTACTTTGACCTAAAATAAATGATAAACGAAAAAAATTAATTTTAAAAATAATGTAAATTTTAAAATTTTAGAATAATATTTTTAATTAATAAATAATATTTTAACAATTAAATAATGAAATCTGAATTTTAAAATATTTTTAATGATTTAAATTTTTATTAAAATTTAAATTAAATTAAAAGACAAAAATACCCCTAATTCCGAAATGTCAACGATCGGAAATAGTGAAATGGGACAAAAAAGTGTGAAAACATAATGTTTGGGACCACGATATTGAAATCTAAATGTAATGGACGTAAATTCAAATAGGCTCAAATGTAAGGGACTATTTGGACATTTTAGTCTTAAATATTTATTTTTGGGGAATTTTGTGTTTATCTATTGACTGTTATACCCTTTTTAAATCGTTGAAATCATCGGAGTCTCTCACCAATCAAAATATTAGTTTATCATTGGAATATAATTAGAACTGGTTCTTCTATAAGAATAGGGATAATAGGGGTTATTAGTACAACAAAGAAGTCCAAAACCTAAGAAACTAAACTATTTAGTGAATAGGAACTTCTAACAAAATCATGTTCTAACCACATAATTAAGATCGAGCCTAACAAGAAAGAATCAAACGCTTCTCTTCTGGGTTCAACGCAAGAGATGACCACGAAATTTCACAAACTAATCTCTACTTAGTACTTTGTTAATAACTCATATGATCTCTTCATAAATACACAATACATCCTCTTAATCTTGTGACATCCATAATTCAAATAATGCCACCACGTCTGAACCATTCTTTTTAACTTACTTTGTGAATGAAATCCTAAATTTAAGAAAATAAAATGTTTGGTTATTTAATTTATTTTTACCTCTTCTCCAGCCATCACATGCTCACTAATATCCTATCCTAACTGCACTCTATAATATCTTACCCAAACATATGGAATATAAGAACATTACCAATTTTTTTTCTTTTTCTAGTGCAAAACATATTGCTACATGCTGTTTAAAAATCATAGACATACATGTCTAAACCAAAATATATGTAAACCCGTAATCATTTATATAAAATACTCCATCTGTCCTAAAATTATTGTCCAGTTTGAGATTTCACTTTTGGTACAATTTGAACTAAAAATGAAAATTCAAACTGACAATAATTATGGGACGGGTAATAATTTACTCTCTTATTATATTATCGTAAAGCAAAATATTGGATTTTTGCTAACATAATGTTCATTTTAATCAAGTTATGTTCTAGCAAATAACGGGTTTGATTAGTATACAAGGAAGCAAAAAATGAAGGGGAAAAAAACGAAATAAATTCGATTTTGTGTCAAATTATATCCGAGTAGTTTTAAGTTTTCTTTTTCATCATACACTATAAAGTAACACAGACGGTTGATTACACAGAGTAAGAAAACAGAGTGCGAGATATCACCACCACCATGGCGAATCAAGCCTTCTCTGATGTGCGCACTAAACAACCGTCGAAGATGGAATCGGCGGTCCATCACCACCAGACAACTTCCTCCGGCAGCCGACTCCTCCACAACGGCTTCGCTAAAGTCCCACATTCAACTACTGGACTTACCGGGACTCTTCCTGCTCTGTTTCCGGGAAAGAATCGTTCCGATCAACTCTCAGATGGTTCTTTGGCGGATTCGTTGATCAAGAACCCATTGCCGGACGAAGACCACGGGGTGCAGCCGTCTAAGGAAACTCTTCACCGTACATACTCTGAACCCATTCCGGCAGTTGCAACCGCCGCCACCCCCAGGCCTCCCGGAGCTGCGAGAGAGGTTTCTTTTCCGGCTGGCCTTCCGAAAAGGCCTGATACTAAGGTTGTTTCTTGGTTCTTGAAGATAATGTAACTCTGTTAACTTTATATTTCTCTGATTTCGAACCAAAGTTCCTTCCTTTTTATCTTTACCCAATTTAATGGTCCAATTAACCTTGATTTTGTCAATGTTGCAGAGTTTTGGAAGATTGCCGGAAGAACTTATGAGAGAAATGGGTTGCCGGAGAAGCAATATACTCTGTGTTGATTCGGCGATTGGTGGTCAATTTCACAGCTCGATCAAGAATTCCTTGCCCATTTCGACGCAGGCGTCTCCCAAACCTCTTTACAGTCTATGCTCCGAACCCACTCCGGCGGTTGCAAAGTCTGCCACTCCGGTAGTTTCTCGGTTCTTGATAATTACGTAGCAAAAACTGTCTCTGATTTTGAACCAAAGTTTTGCCCTTTCTGTTATGTGCTCAATTTAATCATCCAATCGATCTTGGTTTTGTTAATTTTTCAGAGGTTTGGTATATTGCCGGAGGAACGACTGGGTTCTACGGTTAAAGAACAACAAAGCAGAGCACCCAGTGTTGATCTTGGGACTAGTGGACAAATTGAGGCGGCGCCCAACAATTCCGTGCCGGAGGAGGTTACATCTTTACCCATTCCGGCGGCTTCTCAGGCGGTGGCTGCAAAAGTTTCTGTTACAGGTGGCGTTATTCGGAAGCAAGAAAGCCCTGTTACTAAGGTGGGTTTCTCAGTTCTTCACAATTTTGTTTAACTCTGTTAAAACAAATTTGATCTTTGATAGGAATGTTCTTCCTTTCTTTACTGCCGGAAGTAATTGAATCCGAATTCGAGTTTTCAGGGGTTCAGGAAAATCACAGATGGACTGAGAAGCTGGTGGAGGAACTCCCTCTTGGCCGGTGAAGCCTCAGCCATGGCGACACCCAACAATCCGGGGCTTCCATCGTCCTTTCCTCCGCCACGCCGTCCTCCGATTCCGGATCCACCGCCGTTCTGGAGATCCATCTTCAAGCTTCCGCTCATTCGCACAAAACTCCCAGACGTTAGCCTCACCACTTCTTCTCCGGCACCACTTTCAGCGCCCCTTGCACCACGCCCATCAGGAGATCAACTGAGAAGGATAGTA